AAAAAAAAAAAAAAAAAAGAAAGATGCCAAACACAGACTGGGTAGAAATTACTTCATTCCTTTCTTGGGGAGGAACACTCTGATACAGCAGGAGAGAGCACCAACATCTGCCTCAACCCCAGAAAACTACTCTCTTCATACCTACCTCCCTTTATCACCAAAGGGCATTCCCTAGGTAGAATTCTGTGTGTCACTGAAGCCAAAAAACCTTCAAGGAACTGTAATAGCTACTACTCAGGTTTCAGGTTACATAGCTCATTTGGTTCCTTATTTAAAAGGTCCTGTCTTATTACATTATTTAGTCTGTCTGCCCATCCTATGGCTATGAAGGCATTGCCATATATTCAGATGAATGTGAGAAAATCAGTTATATATCTGGATATTTGGTGAAATTTAGAAATGATAAGGTAATCATGGGCAACAGCTATGCTCTAAGAGTTACCTTATCTAAAAAAGAACAAATTAGGACATAAGTATTCCCACTTGCATCAAGAATAACTTTTTGCCTTTTTTTAATAATCTCAATTTCAGATTCATCATTACAGCATTATCAAGTGAAGTTGAACAGATGTGTACAATTTCCCAAGGAAATGTTGGCAATATTTTTTTTAGTTTAAAGAGAACAGTTTAACAAAGAGAAATGTACTAAAATAATTCCATCATCCAACTGAAGATTAAATCTAATCAAAACAAAATGGTGCCAATGCAAAAAGCACTGCAATCATAACCAATCAAAAAGACCATGAAAAGTACAGAATCCTCTCATTCTTTTAAGAATTATCTTTGATTTCTATGCCTTATTCTAGAATTGTTAGTTGTATCCAAGTCTATTTCACCAGCCCCCAATCTATATATTCCAAAACTGTAACATTGTTAGTTTCTAAAATAGGGATGTGTTTATATTCCTCCTGCTAACACCTTCATTTTTCAAAATGGATATGTCCCTATTTTACTATATCTTCTGATGATGCAAGAAATAACCAACTAAAACTGCAAATGCATAAAGTAGAAAGTGGAAGCCCATTTCACAAACTGCAGGGATTTTAAAATTGGAGTGTACTCAGCCAAACTTTTTTAACATATAAATATCAATATATGCATTTATTCACACTAATACCCTTAGTGTTCCTAAAATTTGTTAAACACTATTTTCTTAATATTTACTTTATTTCCATGAAGGTGTATATAACTCAATGAGTTTAGCAGCTTCAGTATCCCACATACATCAAAAGTCAGTTTTACATTGAGTAGTTTCAACTATTATTCTCAGATGAAGCAACCAAATCAACAAAGAATATTTACATCTGAAATTCAAACTTGACTACATAATTACTCTTTTCATTCTACTGAGATTAGTGTCAGCAGAAGCTATTCACACTTTCAACTTCATCTTTGCCAATATCCAAAAGGAGGATGTATGAATATACATACACACACAAATTAATTCCAGTTTCTAATAGTTCCTAAAACCTAGTTCACCATATACCTATCTCAACAATATTTTCAATTCTTTAAATTTCTCTCTCAAACTCTCCTAATCCCCAAAACCAAAGTTACATATCTCTAATAGAACAGGATCCTATCTTCATAACTTTTATGTCCTAAATACTTAATACCATGGCTCTTTGTTTTCAATAACGAACTGAACATGTCCTTTGCAGAAATTCGTGATGTGATGATGATCTGTGATGTAGTGTTCTCAATGGACAATTTCAAAAGCAGTAATACCATAGTTTTACTTACGAGAGGTTTTAGAAGCAAGAAGAGTAACTCGGGAACCTCCTAAGAAGTGAAAACCCATTACATTCACCTGATCATCTTCTGACTGATTGGCAAAGCCTACAAAGAAAATTAAAAAAAAAAAAAATCACCTTACATAACCACAAAGAAAAACACTTAATGTTTGAAATAGGAAGTTTAGTTGATGGCAAGTATGTTTTATGTTACCAGTCATGCTGAAAGTCCATGTATAAATTAGAATATATAAGCTGATTTCCATGGTAATTCCCAATTGCTTAAATCTCTCCCTCACAATAACATTCTTAAATCATTTAATTTCCTTCCTTCTACTGCTTCATTCTAGGTTTGAGGCAGGAAATGCACAAGATAAACCTCAAACACCTGTCACACCAGAAAGCAAGGAAACTATCACTGACCAGCAGAGTAGTATGAAAATAAAAGCGAACTTAAAGAGATTACTGGCCAGAGATGAAAATATTTGAGTATCAAAAAAGTGAAACACATCAAAAATATCTAAAGGCATGTGTTCATATTGATCTAAAAACAGAAAAGGCCAAATGCTCACTAATGGAGGCTTCTAGAGAATCAACTCAATATTTTAAAAATCAGTAAGACAGAGCAGAGCAAGTTGGCGGAGGAGTAGGAGACCTGGATTTCATCTGGTCCCAGGAATTCAGCTTGGATAGAGATCAAACCATTCGGAAGACCTACGAACTCAACAGGAGATTGAAGAAAACAATAGCAGCAACACTCTGAACAAAACAGCGACAACTTTCTGGAAGGTAGGACGTGCGGAGAAGTGAATCTGAGGCAATATTCGGGAGGATAGATGGCGGGGGAGGGGGCCTCCG